GGAGGTATAGTCTACGAGGTGTATAGGCACCGGGTTTGCTGGTTTGCATTGGGCGGTGGGAACATTGATGGCACATTAGGCGGGCATTATTAGGCGGGTTCCGCTTTGACTTTGTCTCTCTCGCTCCTCGCTCGTTCGTGCAGCGCAACAGCAGCAGCACAGCAGCAGCGCGCGCAGCGCGTCACACGTACACAGAGCAGAGAACCAGAATANTTATCAACGTACCATAAATCCTCGGGGTGATGCACTATCCACGAAGAACATTCCTACAGAACGTTCCTCGCTGTTCTGATAATATGTGGCTACTCGGCAGTCTGCAACGCCGACAGTCCCGCAATTCAAAACTGTCCAATCAAATTGTGCTACGTTACTCTGTCGACACACACAGCAGCAACTTATCACGAACAATGTTCAGGCAGGCGTATTGAGTCACTACGTGGTGTGCGCAACGTCTTGACAATTCCCTCGGAAACGAAGAGAGGAAGCAAACCAAAGGTGCGGAAAATCGGGTAAGATCTGGAGAGTTTTCGAGGAGATGGCGGATTTGGAGAATTCCTTGCAAGAGCACACATGCAAGGCTTTCACACAATAGATAGGACCGCTTGCAAGCGTCGCAATCAACGCACATCAACGAAGCGCTACCGTGGTAAGCTGCACCGACGTGGCCGAGATGGGGGAAGATTGTTTCGGACGAGCATGAGATGTCAAAAACCGAGAGAGCGGTGTAGACAGGAGGGTCAACAACAGANTCGCAATCAACGCACATCAACGAAGCGCTACCGTGGTAAGCTGCACCGACGTGGCCGAGATGGGGGAAGATTGTTTCGGACGAGCATGAGATGTCAAAAACCGAGAGAGCGGTGTAGACAGGAGGGTCAACAACAGAGTAAACGCGGGCTTCAAAGCCACACAGGTGCAACCCGAGAACTACAAGTCGTGAAAAGCCGATTCTATGTCATGATTCGTCTCGACTCAGGGACGGTATTTCCCTCGCGTAGGAGGTATTCCGCGGTGCAACGGGGAAACATATATTTCTCCTAGATCCAACTCGTTCCCCAAGGGTCTCTGCTCGCAAGAAAAAATAATATGCCGGCCCACAATGCCGGACACAAGCACACTGGCCGTGAATACGCGACAGCGATCGCGCGGGCGTGGTTCGGGGCCGCCTCCGATCAAGGCTACACAACCTGTCCCTATGTAAACGTGTGTGGGGAAACCACGCCTCGGCTGTCATTGGGAAGGTGACCTTTTGGTCGAACTTGGCTCATTCGCAGGAGCTGGAGTTGTACGGCACAGGTGCGGTCGTCGCAGCCAACGAATGCGGAAGTTCATGGGGAATTTCAAACGGAACCACGGGCAAATGCTTCGTCCGTCGACACGTACAGTCGTGGAACGGGGTCGGCCGACACGACCTCTATCGATATCGCGCCGACGTGTTCCACAACGGCAAGGTGTTTGATTTCAGCAAAACTTGCTCAGTGCCTTCTCGCTCGAGACTGATGACTTGTTGTCGCGACACCACCTACAAAGATATTATAAGACAAGGAGTCAGTGCCTAGCCGTCCAGACCAGGCGGTTGTCTCTCTTGCCCCATACTACTTCAAACAGCAAGGCGGGTTAAAAATGAAGTACTGTTCTCAACCATAGAGGCGAACGGGTTATGATAGGTTCGAGCGATCGTTAGGAGTCGCAACCACAGGCAGTGCCACGGAGCAGGATCGATCGGAGCGATAGCGGCGGCATGAGCGCGGAATCTGACTGATGACGGCGCGGCTATCGCGCAGCGACCAACAAGTTTGACAAAAAAAAGGCATTTCCATTATTTGCTTGCCGTAACTTGAGTATTGGAACTAGTGAAGGTTGCGTCAGCCGCAGATATATTCAACTTACAAGGCGCGCGTCCCGAGTGGGCATATCAGAGCATAGTAGTAGTGTCATCAAGCTTGATGCAAGATGAAACTAAGCATGTGTTGGTGTGAATCAGCTGCCAGCTGTCATCACCCCACACAGCCCGTGTGGTATTGACTCGAACAACCCAGCGAACCTCAACGAACCTGAAAGAAAAAGTACAAATCAGTACACAGTCCTATGGATGTACTCACGACGGAGGGTACAGTGCAGGGAGCTAGCTCGTTACGGCATGTACTGCCATGCAGGCTACAGCGATCGCACCGGCGTGTCTTGCGGCGCTCTTCTGTCTATGCAATGGCCGTTTTTCGTAACGACAACATTCGCCGTGAACACTCGTGTATTTGCTGACGTCGACTCCAGCTCGCATTTTCTATGTGAGCTGGAGGATGTCCACTAAGAATACGACGAATCGTGTCTGTACCGCCTCGGAATCGTGAATTTTCGATACTCGTGGTGAGGTATACCAGGTCTCGACAAAGTGTTCCTTCTACACAGACATACGCTCATCATTCGGCATATCAATACTTCTGCACCAAACGTTGGGTAAGCGCCTGTCGCCTGGAGAAAACCAGTACACTTGGTAGGTCGCGCGGAATATGCAAAGCAAGGCACACAGCCAAGTACCGCGACACCTCATATCTATTCCCGGGAGGAGGAAATATCATGTTTGCGAAGGTAGCAAACCCGGGGAAGATCAAGAGGTAGGGGGATGTATTCCGGGATCAGTACTTTGAATACTCCAGGGGAGAACAGTCGCCTAGATATTTCAACAAACCACAGGCACGCACACGTACCACCAGGAACGATGCCCGGGCAACAAACCATCAACGACGAGAGCATGCAAGAAACAGCGAAAAGTCTCGGTTGCTGTTTGGAGGGAAGGGAGACAGTGCTATTGGGAGACAGGCAGAGGCACGATAGAAAGGACGCCGAAAGGTGTCTGCGGGAAACGTGCTCTCTCACTCTTTCTGTGTTCGCTCTGACTTGAGAAAAACAAAACTAAACGCAACCGGAAAGATTAATGGTTATCGTCTCCCGGGTAAAAACAGTTGTATTGATTTCATCGTTTGCTGGGACGCCTTGAGTCGGCTGGTATTGAAGGTATCCCTATGGGTCGAACTGTGCTCATCGCCGGGAAGTGAAAACTTGGCGCGTCTGATCGCTGCCGTCGCAGTCAGTGTAGGTGCAAATGCATAGGGATTTCAATGGATGTCACGCGGGACTATTTCGCCGACCGTCACGTGCAGAAAGACGAGTTCCCCGGCCAACACGAGACGTATCGCCAACCTGTCGACGAGTTCTGATATGGCACGATTGGTGATTGCAAAACTGTTCCTAGTGCGTGCTCGCTAGAGAGAGAGGTGACGATTTGTCTTCGCGACTCCACAATACCAAGGTCTTACCAACACGGGGTCGTGGGGCTGGCCGTAAAATCACGTTGATCGTCCCTCCCATCCCATGTCCTCGTCACCGTCAGGCGGGTCTACCCCGTGTCATGCAATCGATGGAGGTTGTGGTGGGTGCAGGCAGTCGGCAGGGTTCACCGACGGCCTGCCACGGGGCTGCAAACGGCAAGTCCTGGTCCGGTGATCAAGTGTTGGACGCCATGACGGCGGCTGCGGTAACCATAAGCAGCTACGGAGGAGAATAGGTCGGAGTGGTAGGAACGGCATGAGCGCGAAACTTGGCTGATGACGGTGCAGTAGTTACGCAGCGACCAACAGCTTTGACGACGTGAAATGGATTTCCATATTTCGCATGCCGTAGCCCCTGTATCGGGGCAATTCAAGGTTGAGTCAACGCTAAATCCGTTTGGCTTATGTACATGCACGGCGGAGAGTGTCGTGGAGAGCGCTGACAGGTATGTATATACCCGGTCAGAGTTGACCCAGAATATGCCCTGTGCCATGTACTAGCGGTCACGTTCCGAGGGGAGGAAGGTGGCCTTGAACCCCGAGTAAGTGCTGAAGTGGGGAATCAAGCTACATGACACGACGCTCTTTGTGAGAGGATACGCGTGTGATCGGCGAGAAGATGACCACGTTTTATCTATCCCTGCCTTTGTTCACATGGTCAATGTTGGTATATTCAATGTCAGTCATTGATTTTTGTACTGCTGTAAGC